CGACAGCGGCCCGACTGTGCACGCATGAACGGGGGGGGGGGGGGCGGGGCGGGGCCGCGAGCTCCCAGGCCGCGAGCTCCCAGGCCGGGAGCTCCCAGGCCGTGCACGGGAGGCCCGGGGCTCCCCGCGCAGAGTCGCGAGGGCCCCCAGGTCGACGCCGAGAGGGCGATCCGCCGGCAGGCGTCGCGGCCTGCCCTCCCTGGGCGCCTGCTAGGCGGCCCAAGGCTCAAGTCGGGCCTGTGCCTCTACAGGAGGAACAGTCGAGGATTCTCGAGCAGTAGTTGGGGGGGCGATGGGTGGACCATTTTTTTGATAACTGCTGTGAGGACTTGTTGTCCATATCTCACTTCTCGTCCAAGATCCGCCCGTAGGAGGACACGCCCGACCTAGCCCAAGGCGCCTCCAATCGCAGGCGAGTGTCCCCCACCACCCCCCCGACTCTTCGACGAGAAGTTAATGAGCGATGACATAAACTTAGTAACTCGGAGGTCCGCGCGGACCTCCGAGTTGTTATGTTTATGCAATGGTTTTCCCCTTAAAAGTGAAGCCCCTCAGAAATGGAGGGAAACCCTGGGATACACCCCGGGGGGTCTATTCGCACGCACCCCTAATCATCGAGGATGCACGCCCCCCCTGTCCTATATAAATCCCAGGGTTGGGTGTGGGGGAGGAGGAGGAAGTGCGGCACCCATGGGACGCCACAGGTGAGTTCCGCCGACCGCGGACTGGCCCGTCGCTAGACGCGGGTCCAGCTGCCGTATGTTTGCACAGACGCATGACGGCGGCACATGCTCCCGTCTCGATTGTTTTCAGCTGTTTCCAGCACAAAAAAATATATCCCAGGGTTGGGCCCTAACTCGTCAGTCCAGTCGAAGACCCCACAGAGGGTCGGCATATCCTCTGCTAACCCCAAGGGGCCCCGGGGGGTTCGACAGCCCAGTCTGGCTCAGGAGGCGCCGCGAGTCGCCAAAAGGCGGCCTGAGAGGCCCAAGGTCAGGAGAGGAAAAAACACAGAGACACAATTAATCCTCGATTCCCCAGAAAATATGGGAAAATATGGGCAGTGGGGGGGGAAGACAGAAACCCAGAAAATATGGGAAAATATGGGGACTCTTTTTATTTGTGTGTATTTATTTGTGTGTCCTGGGGCCCCTTCATAAGGGAGCTTCAAGGTGACCCAACACCGAGGGCCCCAGGACGGTCCAAGGAAGCTCCAAGTCGGCTCGGCAGAGCCCCAAGAGGGCCCTACGTAGGGGAACGACGAATGACAGAAACATAAGAGCTCGGAGGTCCGCGCGGATTTCTCGGATCCGCGCCGGACCCCCCTCCCTGGCGCGCGGAGCGCGCCAGGGGCGGCGCCAGAGGCGCCGCCAGTGGGGTCCAGCGCCAATCCGAGAAATCCACGCGGACCTCCGGGTTTTTATGTTTATGTCACTTTTTGTTCCCCTACTATGGGAGCCCCAGGAGCACTTTACGATGGCCCCAAGAGAGCTCCCAGACGACCGAAAGCACCCTCAGACGGCCCAGAAGGGCCCCAGGACGGCCCAAAGAGGAGCTTCAGGAGGACCCCCAAGATGCCCTGAGTGTTCCTTTGATTCTTCGATTCGGGGGCCGCGTCCAGGGTTAAGTCGGGCCTGTCCCCCAACAGAGAATTTTCGACGAAAAATTAATAATAGCCCACAAATGGTCAAAAAATGCTCAAAAAATAGTCTGGGGATTTTTTGAATATGTTTACACCTTTTTGGTGCACTTTCGGGGTACGTTTTCTTTTTCGTCGAAAATCCCCCTGTCGGGGGACACGCCCGGCAATAGTCCAGGGGGGAAGCCATGTTGAGATTCGCGCAGTTCTTCTTCCACGCCTGCAGTTCCCGAGCGGTGCAAGCAAATATGTAGGACCCCGCAGATGCGGAGAAGAGTGAGGAGGCGGTGGGGACGTCGGCAGTTTGCGATACTCTGGAGAAACCCGCCGCAGACGCCGAATTTTCACAAATTGTACAACGAGCCCGCCAGAGGCGCAGATTTTTGGTCGTTAAACCAATGTGGGTAGGTCGCGGGTGGGTCGCGGGTGGTTCGCAGGTGTGTCGCGGGTGGGTCGCGGGGTGGGTCGCGGGGTGGGTCGCGGGGTGGGTCGCGGGGTGAGTCGCGGGTGGGTCACGGGTGGGTCGCGAGTGCGCAGCGGGGTGGGTCGCGGGTGGGTCACCGGTGGGTCGCGGGGTGGGTCGCGGGTGGGTCGCAGGTGGGTCGCGGGGTGGATCGCGGGGTGGGTCGCGGGGTGGGTCGCGGGTGGGTCACGTGTGGGTCGCGGGTGGGTCGCGGGGTGGATCACGGGTGGGTCGCGGGTTAGGTCGCGGGTGGGTCGCGGATTGAGTCGCAGGGTGAGTCGCGGGGTGGATCACGGGTGGGTCGCGGAATGGGTCGCGGGTGGGTCGCGGGTGGGACGACGACAAACAACAACAACAATAATAATAACAATAACAACAACCATTTTCAGATTTCGCTCTTGCTGGCACGCGTGTCTTTCATTCTGTATACCCCAACCCTCGATACCCGCCCACTTCGTCTTCGATTGCACTCCCTTTCGTGGGGAATCTCTTCATTGTCGGCCACCGACTGGAGTGCGAGGAAGTCTCGAGTGAGAGCGCCGTTCCTGAGTTCGGGGGCTTCTCCGGCCAGGGGCTCTCGGAATACATATGGAGATATATCGATTCGGAGCCCTTGTCGCCGTGTCTGGGTCTCCACCAACTTGCCTGAATTACGAGAACGTCTCGAGCGAGGGCGCCGTTCCTGAGTTCGGGGGGCTTCCTGGCCAGGGGCTCTCCAACAACAGCAACAGCAACAACAACAACACGACCACCAACAACAACATCAATAACAGCATCAACAGCAACAATACCAACAACAACGCAATAAGCATAAGCCTCACCACGGATCCCCACTTCAGCCACGCACCCAGGGACAATGAATGACCGTTCGGTCCCCGCACTCTGATTTGCCAGTACTTTCTATCAAACTTGAGGTATCGATGCAGGCCCATACATGTTAGGCATTGATGTGTCTCCTTCTTTGAATATCGCTACAACCGAAGACTGTCTCCATTCAGCCAGTGTGTTCTTATATGGGCAAAATGTATTGCACAAGTCTGGCATACTTCCCAGCACATCGCTTGATGACCATGATGCTTGCAAGAGGTCTGGTGGCTCGCCGTCGCGAACAGCAGTTATGTTTCTTCAGAGCCTTTTATGCTCAGCGTAATTCTCCCCCCCGTGTCGACATTTAACTATTCCCCGTCGGCATTGATTGCGGGAGCTCTTCCCGGTCAAGAGGGTTCCCACGAGAGATCCAAGAGGGAGTCTGCATCGACCCGAGAGATCCGACGAGGGCTCCCATGTTACCCCAAGAGAGCTGCAGAGGGTCTTTGCAGTTTGCAAGACGGCCCCCAGACGGCCAGCTGGGAATCCTCTTGGAACTTTCAACTGGCCTCGTGCCATCAACCAGAGGGCAGTCTGCCTCCTACCCCGCCCCTCCTGCCTTCTCTCTCCTCCGTCCTCGCACGTTCATGCCGGCAACTCGCTTCCCCCTCCACTGTTCCACCTCGTCCCGCCCTCCCCCGGCCCGACGCATCTCGTAACTCGAGGAGGAGGAGGAGGAGGAGGAGGAGGAGGAGGAGGAGGAGGAGGAGGAGGAGGAGGAGGAACGGAGGAGGAGGAGGAGGAGGACGAGGGGGAGGAGGAAAAGGGGGAGGAGAGGAGGAGGAGGAGGAGGAGAGGAGGGAGAGGAGGAGGAGAGGACGAGGACGAGGACGAGGAGGACGAGGAGGAGGAGGAGGAGGAGGAGGAGGAGGAGGAGGAGGAGGACCCCTCCAACCTGCCCCCTTGCTTCTCCACCCTCCCCCCTGCCTCGGCGCTCCTGCCTCCTCCCTCCCCCCCCTCCTCTCGCGCAAGGGAGGCCCGGTGGCCACGGCGACCCCGAGCCCTGGCCCTCCCAGGCTGCCCTCTCCCGAGGCCCCCCGCCGCTGGCCCGCTCCCAGCTCCCCCGGTGCTCCAGCGGGGCCCGGCCCCTCCTCGCGCGAGGTCGGCGCCCCGCTCGGCCCCCGCTCGAGGGCGCTCGGCCCCCCCGCCGCCGCCCCGCCCCCCCCGGGCGGCCAGCATGCGCGGCGGGCGCCCCGCGGAGCGGCCGGCGGCCCCGGGCGGGCGGGGGCGGCGGAGGCGAGCGGCGGCCGCGGAGGCGGCGGCCGGCGGCGAGGGCGAGGGCGCGAAGCGGGCCGCCGCGGCGGAGGCCCCGGGGCGGCGGGCGAAGAGGCGACGCGCGGGCGCGGCGGCGGGCGAGGGCGCCGGGCAGGGGGGCGCGGGGGGGGCGGAGGCGCCGGGCGCCTCCCTGGAGGAGCTGCGCGCCCTGCTCGCCCCGGCGGGCTGGGGCGAGGCGGCGGGCCCGGGGGCGGGCGGCGGAGGCGCGGGAGGGGAAAACACACACAGACACACGCACACACAGACACACAGACACACAGACACACAGACACACGCACGCGCGCACGCGCACACACGCACACACGCACACACGCGTACCGTACACGCGCACACGCACACACGCACACACGCACGCGCACACACGCGCACACGCGCACACGCGCACACGCGCACACACGCACACACGCACACACGCACACACGCGTACCGTACACGCACACACGCACACACGCACACACGCACGCGCACACACGCGCACACGCGCACACGCGCACACGCGCACACGCGCACACGCGCACAAGCGCACAAGCGCACAAGCGCACACGCGCACACGCGCACACGCGCACACGCGCACACGCGCACGCACAGACACAGACACAGACACAGACACAGACACAGACACAGACACAGACACAGACACAGACACAAACACACATACACACATATACACATACACACATACTAACATACGCACAAACACACATACACACGCGCATACACACAGACACACACGCACACACGCACACACAAAGGATCGTCGATTCCCAGGAGAACATGGGAAAATAGTATGGGCAGTGTGGTGGGGGAGCACGAAAGCCCCGAACAGATGGAGGAACATGTGTGGGGGATCCTCGGATCTGTGTGCATTCACTTGCGAACCCCTGGGCCCCCGTCGGAGGCGGGGGCGGCGGCGAGGGGGCCGCCGAGAAGGGCGCGCCAGGGCGCGAGCGCCCCGACTGGATCTCAGAGGAGGAAAAAGTACCTCCTCATCCTCCGCCTCCTCCTCCTCCTCCTCCTCCTCCTCCTCCTCCCCTCCTCCTCCTCCTCCTCCTCCTCCTCCTCCTCCTCCTCCTCCTCCCTCCTCCTCCCCTCCTCCCCCTCCTCCCCATCCTCCTCCTCCCCTCCTCCTCCTCCTCCTCCTCCCTCCTCCTCCTCTTCCTTCCCCTCCTCCTCCTCCTGTGACTGATCAGTAATTTTCTCTATCCGTTGCGTTCAGGTTTAGCGTTTAGTGTTGTACGCATGTTTGCACCCGTGGACGGTACTTTGGCTCAAGGGAAAAGTGTCCAGTGTGCTCTGCTGCTGCCACAGTTGGTAGCGGAGCCGGTTCGACCGGCGCGGCCATGGGCAGCGCGGCCAGTCCCTGAGGGGGCGTGGCACGCGCGGCTCGCGAGCCGCCGGTCGGTGCCGGCTCGCGCGAGCTAGGCGGCGTGGATCCACGGCATGCCCGATGACGACAACGACAGGGGCGGCACGTTCATGGCGACGGTGCCTGGTGCCGAGGGCGCAGAAAGACAGGCGTCTCCTCCGCCCATGCAGTCGGCCGTGTCGGTCACGACAGAACAGCTGAGGGAGCTCGTGGTGGGAGTGGTGCGAGACACCATGGGCGCCGCGGCGGGGGCCACGGCGAGCGAGGACCCTTGGCAGCGCGGGGCGACCGCATCTTTGAGACGCGGAGCGGCCGGGTCGGCCGCGGCAGCAGCAGCAGCAGCGGATCAGCCCCGCAGCACCGACAACGACGACTGGAAGGACAGTGGCTGGAAGGACTACAGCCAGAACGACGATGAGTGGAAGAAGAACGGCTGGAAGGACTACGGCCAAAACGACGACGATTGGAAGAAGAACGGCTGGCACGAGCACGGCCAGGACAAAGACGAGACCTGGGATGGCTACCGCAAGAAGAGCGAGTGGTCCAACCCCTGGTGGGGCCCGTCGCCGAAAGGCGATTTTACTGACCCACCGGGTTGGCCTGGATGGACTCACTACAGAATCTGGAAGAAAGCCATCAGGCGATGGAATGATAATACTGATGTTCAGCTATGGAGGAGATCAGAAAAGTTCCTCCGTCTATTTGATTGGAATATGCAGATGAAGTTCGAAGAACTTCCAGACACGGTGCTCAGTAGCGCCGGATGGCTCGACGCAGTTCTAGGCCGCATGGATCTCATGATTGGGGAACGCGAAGGTGACGAGCTGAGACGCTCAGGCAGGAAAGCCCTGTACGAGGGCCTCCGGGAGCCCAAGGAAACCTTGACACAGTATGTCAGTAGAAGAGAGTCGCAGTTCTTGGAGGCCGAAGGCAATGATATGTGGCTTTCATCAAAACTAAAGGGCCTTATGCTCGAAGAGGGTGCGCAGTTGACTCAGCAGTCAATGCAGAATCTCAGGGCCCTCACAAAGGGGCGTCTTGACTACGACAGTGTCAGTTGGGCTTTGAGACAGATGGATGCTGCTGGGAGTGGGCGCCTCATGTCCGGCAGGCCCAATGCGGCACTGTTCGGTGCCGAGGACGAAGATCCCGGCGATGATGAGCAGTTTCTCTCTTCTCACTCCTACCCCTCAGGTCGGTTTGAAGGTGGTGAGGACATCGACGAAGACGAGGAGGAAGAATACGAGGTTGACGAGCAGGACATCGAGGCCCTGATGGCCGAGCTGGAGGACATGGACTTGAACGAAGATCAGGTCGACGAGGCTGTTGCCAGCTTCTTCGAGGCCCGGTCTAATAAGCGGACCTGGAAACATAATAAGGATATGAAGCTGGCCGCTCGAAGAGATCGAGAATACTTCGGGGCAAAGGCCAGAGGGGCAGGAGCACCTCCCCCACCACCCGGACTTCCCGGCGGCCGTCGGGGAGGAGGTGGCCGTGGTGCACGAGGACGTGGACGAGGCGGAGGCGGCAAAGGGCGCGGGTTCAGACCCAAGCTCTCCATTGAGGCCTTGATAAGATCACGCGCTGCCGCCTGTGCGACGAGAAGGGGCACTGGGGCGACGAGTGCCCGAACCCGGACAGGAAGAAGGAAGGCCCACAACGCCGGCCTCGTAATGACCGGCGGCAGGGGCTGAGCGCTTACATGTTCACCGGCTGCACGATGACCGAGGAGCTGACCGCAGAGATCCTAGACGAGCTCACCGACGCGCGGAAGGAGCTCGACAGTGGCGACTTCCTGGTGGCAGGCCCCACGCAGGGCCTGGTGGATCCCGGCGCAGCCGGGGATCTCGTGGGCCGTGAGGTGCTCAATCGAGAGTCCAAGGCTTTGGGGCGCCTCGGGCTCCGGTACGAGATGATTCCGAAGGAGTGCCAGCGACCTCGAGCAGCTCATGGAGTAGGAGGGTCTGCGACTGTACTGTGCAGTATTCTCTTTCCTCTGTGCCTCGGTGGCGTGCTAGGGGTGGTCGAGACCACCGTGCTCGAGGATGACGTGCCGCACATCCTGCGCGTGAATTTATTAGATTTTCTCGGATGCACTATAGATCTCCCGCGCAACATCATGAGGTCTGAGACACTCGGGATGGATCTTCCTCTGACCCGACTTGGGTCAGGCCACCGCATGGCCGAAATATTTTTAAAACTGGCCGGCCCGGCACACCCTTTGCCGGAGTCGGCGCGCCTGAAGTATCCTTTTCTGAACGATCAGTCGTTCCTGCTGAAGGACGGCTCGCCTCCCGAGATGCTGCGCTCCGGAGAGTTGCGGGACTACATCATCATTATCATCATCCTGAGCACGATCATCTTCAGCATCAGGGTCATGTCCAGGCTCTTCCCCAGGATCCAGGTGAACCTAGGTAGCATGGTCAAGAGTGTCTGGGAGATCCCCAAGGTGTCTATCAGGCTCTTCGGGTCTCGAGCTCAGTTGGCGCCCCTAAGACAGGCTAGGACCTTAGGATCAGAGAATGAAGGTAAGGTGAAAACGAGGACCTGCGGACCATTCCCGGCACCAGGGGAGGTCACTTTATTCGTGGATCGGTCGATTCTTTCCGCAGCCATCGGCTCGAACGAGTGTCGACGTACATTTCTTCGACCTCGTGCCTTCCTTGAGTGCGACCGACGACGTCACCGCAAGAGGGGTCATGCGACTGACCCTGCTCCTCGTGATCATGGCGACCCGTCTCCCGGCAGCTGCCGCAGGAAAGGGCAAGAAGCCCGGTGCCCAGGAGGCCACAGAGGAGTTCCTGAGGCAGCAGGCGGCCATCCGCGCACTGGTGGAGGCCAATCCCGAGGCGTTTCAAGATCAACCAGGCGCTGGATGGGGCTCTCCCAGTCCCAATGGACACCGGCGGCGACCCGTGGGTCGATCAGGGTCTCCAGGGAGACCGCGGCCACCACGAGGACAGCATCGTGGGGATCACGGCGCCGAACGGGAGTCAGCACCAGGCGGAGGAGGCGGCTCCTGGCGGAGGTTCGGGTCTACCGACCGAGGTAGAGGGACAGCCCCCTCTCCCACAGGGAGCACCTCCACAGACGGGCAGCGCATTCTTGGAGCCCACGGCGAAGCGCATGACTCGTCCAGCAGGGGTGCCTCCGTCGGGTCAGACGCCGGCAACTCCAGGGACGTCCTCGGCCTCGGGTGGGCCTCACGGGATCTGGGCCCAGAGCCAGCCTCCGTGGGGGCCAGTGCCAGGGAAGCCACCTCCCAAGCCCGACCCTCGGGCGATCCCGCCTGCGGAGTGGGCAGCGAGGCTCTACGCCGGAGGTCAGCAGTTTTCCTCTCCTCTGGCGGCCGCGGCAGCGACAGGGATCCCAGTCAAGCCACCTCCGATCTCATTGGCAGGGATCCCAGTCAAGCCAATACCGACCTGTACGCATCCGATCGGGCATGTGAAGTACTACGGGAACAAGTACGGGTCCGGCTCGAAGTGCAAGCTGTGCGGCAAGTCCCTGGCGTGGGTCAAGAAGGGCGACCTCCCGGGCGACCCGAACCAGATGGAGCGGGCTTCGTCGGCAGCCGAAGCGGCGAGGTCAGCCGCAGCGGCAGCGCAGAGAGCAGTGGACCTGTTGCAGCAGGGCGGGGGCTTCACCCAGGGCGTGGCGGCCCTCAACACGGCCAACAGCCTCTCGGCCATGCTGCAGAGCCTACAGTGGCAGCTTCACAACATCCCGGAGGGCGTGAGGGCCTTGGGAAACGTCCAGCAGGTGCTGGATCGCATGATAGCGTTTGCGATGGACAGCGCCAATCACCCAACGGAGATGCAGGAGGGGATGCATCGCATCTTTCAGGAGCTGGCGCGACTACGCGCGATCCTGGAGACGTTCGAGAACTTCGGCGAGATGCTGGACGGGATCCAGACGGCGATCGAGGGACTCACGACGAACTGCAGATCCAGCAGGCCCAGATGATGGCCATGATGCAGGCCCAGGCGCAGCAGCAGCAGGTCGACGGCTCCAGCGACGTGGCTCCACAGGAAGGCGAGACAATGGCGCCGACGACGACCGCCTCCGAGGAGTTCTACATCGGCGACACGACTACTACGACGACGACGCCAACCGGCCCGGATGGCTGGCAAATTGTCTGAGCGAGGAGATAGCCCGCTCACAGCCAGGCACGCGTAGACCCGCGTGCTCACATTCTCTGAAGCTGATTCACAGCTTCTCCAGGTGCTCGTGTCCAGCACCTGATGAGAGAAAACGGCCCTCTTCCTCTCTCGCTCCTCACTCGTCCCTCTGCCTCTCCTCCTTCGGTGAACCCACATCACGTGTCCCTTTCAAGCAGAGCCTTGAGGAGTGTCAGGTTTACTGGCTCGATGGAGATTCGTGCAACGACGACCACGAGGCCTCCTGGCCGAGGAAGGTCAGAGAAGCTGTCGAGCGGAGTGCGGCTGCGGATGCCGGAGGAAGCAGGATGGACCAGGCGGCAGCCGGCGGAGAAGAGTTCATGGTCCGTAAGGACAGGGCCCGCACGGCGTTGCTGGAGGTTTTCTCTCCGCCCCGAATCGCTCCCGAGGTGGAAAAGCGGGGGGCCCCACT